CAGCAGGCAATAAATCCCATTGTTCTTAGCAAGACAGCAGGCAATAAATTCATTGTCCTTAGCTAGACAACAGGCAATAAATTCCATTGTTTTTAGCAAGAGGCAAGCAATAAATTCATTGTTCTTAGCTAGACAGCAGGCAATAAATCCCATTGTTTTTAGCAAGAGGCAAGCAATAAATCCCATTGTTCTTAGCAAGACAGCAGGCAATAAATTCATTGTCCTTAGCAAGACAGCAGGCAATAAATTCCATTGTTCTTAGCAAGAGGCAAGCAATAAATTCATTGTCCTTAGCAAGACAGCAATTTAAGATTTTTGAATGGTGGGTCAAATTCAGAAAATTACTGATATGCTGTAATGAAAATGTAGAACTCCAGGACCTGTTTTGTATAATATAGGTGTGGGTATATAATTTTAAATTACTCCTGCAGTGTAATAGCTTTTATTTTCTCCATAGACAACTGGTGTACGACTCTATAGAATCACTAATGAGATTGTTTTAATTATCTGGGACGATGGATGTGTCAATTCAAAATGTCTCAAAACATTTGAAGTAGAGTTTTCTTCAAAGAGTTCTGAAGGTCCATATAAGAAAATCAACGACATTGATTTGATATTCACTTCAATGGTTTACTCAAGAGGTAATTATTATTCACATACACCAGTCAATTAGTTATTCACTTGATATTCTCACTAGATGATTGAAATCAATAACTTGGGTGGTCTTAGCCCTGTGTGGTGGGGGTCACATTTAGAGTTTGTGAATTTTACTATTATTAAAGGGTGGTTGTCTTCATATCCCATGTCCATTGGGTATGGGTACTCCCAGAATGTATATACCTACATGAATGCCCCGGGGTCACATTCCTTTTTTTATCGTGGATTTTGGGGTCTTGGTACTTGAGCCTGTAGATCAGAATGCCTCACTTTAATGTAGTATGTGGTATATTAAACTTGTGATTGTATTGGTTTCCAGGTGCATCGTCATCAATATCTGGGTATTACCGGGTAAGAGCTGTGGATTACTGGAACAGACCGGGAGAATATTCACTTCCAGTACAACTTGTATAATCAATGCAAAGCAATCCAACACAGGATGTCTGATCTGCTCCAAATTATATATTTGCTTCCAAGGCATACTTAACTTAGAATACTCTAAGTAAATTTTTTGTTACCTATCACAAAATAACCATGACTTGAAATTAACAGCAGATTTATAGCAAAATACAAAAAAATAAAACGTATTATATATTTGCCTCCAAGGCATACTAAACTTAGAATACTCTAAGTAAATGTTTTTTTACCTATCACAAAATAACCATGACTTGAAATTAACAGCAGATTTATAGCAAAATACAAAAAAATAAAACGTATTATATATTTGCCTCCAAGGCATACTAAACTTAGAATACTCTAAGTAAATGTTTTTTTACCTATCACAAAATAACCATGCCTTGAAATTAACAGCGCATTTATAGCAAAATACAAAAAAAAACGTACATTATACCAGTACAAGTTTCGTGGAAAAAGATTTGTTTGAAGGCAAAATTGAATACAATTGATATTCTTTAAAATTGATATCAGTTATTCACAAATGCAAAGTGAGCCTTATCAAAATTTCAGCCTTGTGCAAAGTGTTGCAGTGTCTGTGCCATAGGACTGCACAGTCCTTGCTGCACGGTCACTTTTTTGCATGTAAATTAGCACTGCAGCATGGATGCGACTACTTCCTACTTCAGTACAATCAAACGAAAGAAATGCCAAAGGCATTTCAAGCAAGGGCAGTAAGGCCCGAGAGACTGTTATAGCATGTAAACGCCCTCATGCGGCATTACGTAGAAATTGCCCGGTGACGTTCCTGTTGAGACTTGTCACTCAAACTACAACTACTTCCTGTTTATTGGTGTATTATTGTACACTACATGTAAATACCATTACTTTTTGGTGAGCTTTGCAGATTTAAAACGCCCCTCAACAACTAAAGCACATCATACTTGGTTCATTAAATAGGCTACTAATTGATTTGCACTAATTGCCGTCGGTGACTCTTTCGATACTTTCCAGTCACCAAAGAAATACCTAATTTAAAGCTTGGTAATGTCTCAGTTTGCACGTCTCGTTGATCTGTGCAGTCTAAGTCGTCATCTGTGTTTATATGAGACCAGAGGTACATTACTTGGGGTTTGCAACTCGCATAGTACTGTATGATGACATCATGTCAAGATCCCATTGAAGTCTCATCTCGTAGATAGCGAGACTGAGGCTACGACCTTCTGACATGATATATATCAATGTTCAAGGTTTGTAATGAAAAAATAAAACTTTTCTTGCCACTATCGTAGTGAAAAATGTAATACATCGAAAATGTACAGAAAATATAGTTCTCGTAATCCGTCATATCGTGGGCAGCTATTTTTCTGAGTTGGAACGCTTATGCGAGAGCGAGATTGTAACGGGATCTTGGTATCATGTCACCGTAGTTGCAAACCCCAAGTAATGTACCTCTGATGAGACCCATATATCTACCACCCTTTAAATGTGTATAATCTGCATGTATTTATAACTGTTAATTTGTTCAAGTATAGTATTGCAGCACACGATGATTGCAAGACTACTACTTTACTGCTTCTAATCATTGTTAACTGAGATCGATGCCGGTATTTGCTTTGGGTTTGACGTAATCAGTATCAGCTGAATTTAATTTTATATATTTTATTTTTACTAACTATTCATTGTTTTGTAATTGTACATACATCTTACTTTGTATTACTTTAACTATCGCCACATGTGGGCTTTTGCGATTACCAAGACATATAAAAAAACTGCAAGTAAACAATTAAAACATTTATATTTTTTAAACAGTTGGTAATGGATGACAGAAACAACTGTGATAACCACGGACATGCAAACTATCATGAGAGTGGCAGCGGTTTAGACGGCACAACAACTTACTTTCACTTTTGAAGTAAAGGTACTTGCATCTTCGGGAGGCTATATAAGTATTTCTTACTCCCTCGCCTCATGTGGCACACACATTGTGAGTTTCTATGGCAGCTTGACTGCCATCTCAGAGATCCTTTTTCATAGTCAAACACGGCTACAAAACCTAGCTTGCCCGTTAGCCCCATTCACAACATCACTGGTGTCAATAACCTTGCTGAGCGATCCAGTAAGATGAAGCATTATACTATATGAAGTGAAATCCAATATCTCAATACTTCCACATATTTTGGTGTACAGATTAGATAGGTAGGTGAATCACCATACGACAGAACATTTCAGCATGGGCAATTACCTGGCATCACTTGATCTTGAGGACGCATATCTGCATGTACAGAATCACCCTGAAAGCTGATGAATTGCTACGTTGCATGATTCTATAAATAAGATTTTGAATAAGTGTGCTATACTAAATCTTAATGCATTCCCTTACTACTGCACTTCCTATAGTACCTAGTCTTTATCATACCCCTTGCAGTAACACCTAGTTCCCATCACATCCTGGGGCAAAAATAACAAGGTGTTATTGTTTCCCTGATTAACTTATATTAGTTATGGGTTCCTTTTGTACTTTGATTACTTTGATTATTTTACTAGCGGCAAAAAATGTTCATCATACACCTAATGGGTCACTATTATTGTGAGAGGTAGTTTTATTAAAATTACCTTCCTAACATATTACTATTCCAAATGCAAAAAAAACAAAAAAACAATCATGATTTTGTGTGTCTCTGTCAGGTATGGCCCGCACTTATTTGCCCCTCTCAAATGGAACATTCCATTTTATGATCTCTGCTCAGCTGTACTGTAAGATTGTTTATTATTTTGTGAATTTTCGACGAGTTGAAAGTAAAATATAATAGAGAAAAGGGTAATTTCACTGAATCATACCTTCAGTGAAAATATTTTCCAAGTGAAGTTTAGTAACTCATTTTTCAATTCAATATTCCAAATAAGAATACTTTTGAGTAACTACAATATTTAAATGCCCAATTTATCCCAGGCCTTCCTGTGTTATTGTGTGTGTGTGGTGCGTGTGCGCCTGATACACATGTATGTGCAATCTTGTCATGATTGGGACAAACATGGCAGACATCACTTCAATTTGTAAATTTAAATAGAGCCTATTTACTTTTTGACAAATTTGTCTCCACCCAAATGTCTTTCATACATGCCTTGAGCAATTCACTTCAAACTTATACATATTAAATATGTGTATTGTAGGCAATACTTTGATAGATGGTATATCATGGAATACACACATACACTAATAGTAAATAATCAAGGATATGGCGCATGGTATGTTGGGCGTGTATTCTTCAAATTGGATGCAAGAAATAATTACTGGAGGTTGATGCACGTAATTTGATTTGGTTACTTCTTAAGATAACTGACCTATTTATCTATCAGATCACTAAAGAAATGCTACTGTTTTGAGATTAAATACAAAACAAGTATTTTGGTCATTTTATGTATCAAGATAACTTTAATTAAGAACTTATTAATAATTTGCTATACGTTTTCTACCTATAAGTGTGATATTATTCATTGTTACATGCAATACGTTATCTCCATAGTGAAAACCATGTTCTATATGCACATGAGTAGATGCCAAAATTTGAATTTGCATAAACTTTCTGAGGGCAAATAACAAAATTAGGTATTACTAGTAGTTTCCACTTACATTATTCTGTCTCATGAATAAATACCACATAAATATCCATTTATGTCTGTTCCTAGCTAGTTTTTAGTGCAATATACATGTTTCAAATGACAATTAGCGGCGAAAACTGTGATTTAATATTCATTATAAGTCACTGATTTGCCGTGAATTCAGCCGTTTACAGCCCTTTTGTTTACGCCTGGCTGCATGAAAAATATCACAGGCGGCTAACATCAGTTTTATTAGCTCTCTCAGTTTTTTTTATTATTTTTACTTGCCACTGTAACACTACTTCGACGACGTCTTCACGAAAAAAGTGCGTCTGGGCGTATTTTTTAAAGCTTTGCAATTCTTGCACAATGACATCCGAAGTGTGAAATACTGACTGGAATTGAATATACAGAAAACATCCTGCTTGAGGATATCTGGACGCCTTTTGTTAATAAACAACTGAAAAGCACAATGTAAAAGTTTCATGTGAAATGCACAACAATTGTGAAAGCTATTTAGATTTGAACGTCCACGACAAACTGAAAATAATGGACAATTTGTTTAACCATTCACGCATAAAGAATTGTGCTAATGCTCATAATGAAATTGGCTGTAACAGTCCCAAATTTAAATCTGTTATCGTTTTGTAAAAGTTAAATATAGTGTATCATTTTCCATCATGTTTTTTTTATTAGTATTATAATTGTTATTTCTGTACAGCCCTTGCTAAATCTTGCTAACCATCTGGGGATTAAAAAGCATGAACAAATCCAGGTGCCCACAAACCTGCATCTATACCTTAATAAACCAGAATCAATCTTCACCGAAATGTTCATACCCAAATACTTTTTCGAAGATTAATTAACAATAAATTACATTTTTATTTTGTTATTTTTGTATCCATTTACTATGCGATATATATTATCTTTCTGTGACGTTTTCGATATCTATGTATGTGATGTTTTTATTTATTCTCCACACCACATGCTATATACACCTTTTCAATACATCCTCAATTTGCTACTATGTGATACGAATTACAACTTTGCAATTTCTTTGCAGTATCTATGTATCTATCCACACCGCATATGATGTACACTAAAACCATGTTATGTTTGGGAATCTTCTCACTATGAAATACACATTACAATTTTGTGATGGTGTACATATATCAACACAATGCTATATACACGTGTGATTTTTTCGATATTTTGTTACTATACTCGTATGCAGTAATTATACTACTGTATTATATACAATATTCACTACATGATATTACAACCATATAACTCATGATGAATGAAAATAACTTCCATACCCACAAATGTTTTTGTCGCGCCATGCCGTTCTATTATTATTACATAGGAATATCATCAAGCACGTTGTTCAATATGTTCGTACAAATGTGTAACATTGTATGACCGATTTTAAATACCGACTGACAAAATGTACTAAAACAAAGAAATACTAATCCTAAACGTTTAAACGCTTCTTGTTTCACGGAATAGATTTTCAATGCCACCTTATCGCAGTGATTTTAACACACTCATTCGATTCAGGATTTACTACAGTTTTAAAATGCTACACAGATGTGCATTTTTAAATTTGCGGATCTACATGGAAGTAATGTGTGTACTCAAAAAAAAATTTTGAGGACAAAAATGTGAATACGACTTTCCAATACATGATACGACACATACTGACAATCAACAATGAAAACGTGAATCAATTATATAGTTTAGCACATTTATTTATTTATTTATTTATTCATGCAATGTATATTTTCATCCGAGATAGGGTGACCAGCATTGGTTGTCATGAAGTAGGTTCATGGTTGGCTTCTCGGTAGGATCAATTTCTGTAAAGGTTATGAGATTATTAGAATTAGACAGCTGATAATGTACAAATATACGAGTAGTTACACCGATAGTTGCAGGAAGGAGTAGATCACCTGTGACTGTGACTGTCACATCCAATGCCATAATGGTGAAACTTAAGGTAGCGGGACACTTATTTGCATACTTGTTTTCATCTTCTAATTATGACCAAATGACTACAAATAGACCCAGGAAAATATATATTTTTGGAATCGGCAGACTTCAAGCTTTTCAAATGTGCGTATCTGCTTTCTACTGTGTATTACTTAATCAAAAGCCAAAAATTACTTTTTTGTAACAAAAAAAATTACACATTTATGTTGGTGATAAGAAGTATTATTTTCACTTTTCCTAGTTGTTCAATAGTCTGGTAAATTGAATGTGTCTGGTCATTTTAGTCAAGCAACGCGATTTGAAAAGTAGTGTTCTGAATTTTAATTGCTGTTTTAGTCGCATTGCCCCCAACTCAAACCACAGCACATTGGTAAATAATCCATGAAATAGTTTGTCTGGAGTTCCTCTCATTGTCAACTTAAAGCTGTGAAAAGTTGGTGTTAATCCGGCGACAATAAGTATACGTTATTTTTTGTTAAAGACCTTGTATTTTGAAAAAACATAAACTCCTAGAAAACGTTGATGAAGTCACAGCAAAGATGTTCAAGCTTGTTTATCACAGGCGATTTGGTTTTCCCATCAAGATCTGTTTTAACATGTGCAGGGGCATCCAAATGTGTAAGGTTATTGGAAACCAAAAAATAAAGGAATGGGATAGCTATAATTCAATAAAATCGGCAGATGGAAACACCAAAATCAATGATGATGTCTGTTTGACCTTGTGTCTGACACATTCATATGCAAATGACTAATCTGTGAAATAAACAGGGGCGGAGACAAACCACTCAAATGTTTTGAAACACTCATTGTGTGTCAGATAGCTACTGATAACACATCCTAACATTGCTTTGTCTTGAGTTAATCTTTGAAACATATAGGCACACAAATTAAAGCCGTCTTGTTGATTTTGGAAAACAGTACTGAAGCTGCCTTGCTTCCCTTCAGAAAATCTACATTTTAACCAACTTATATGACATTCTAGGTTACGTTGACTTTATCAGATGAAAGTTTATAGTGCATTTCATCAATTAATAAATAAATGTGAAAATCAAATTTTCAACACAAATAATAGTCTTCGCTACCTTAACATATATTTTCACAACCAATTAAACTATTATTGGCGATACCAGTATTTTCAAGATGTACGTATTAAATATTTGGCATCGTGATCACTCAGGCACTTCTACCAGTAGTTTTCTTACCTTTTTGGCATATGTATTCCTTAGTCAAGTGTAGCATATTCTTTTCAAAGAAAGAAGAAGCATCAGTTATCAATTGTATAGTGTTTTCAATTGTGTTTTATACATGTACTGCTGAGTGAATAAGTGTGTCTGTTACAATAAGCGTCCTGCGCAATGAAGTAAAATTCAGATTTTGAAAAGAATTACGAGTATTGAAGGTGCATTTTAACATTGTATATATGTTATGTCAAAACAAACTCACCGTCGTAGCATACATATCCAAACGTCATAACGCAATTTTGATCGCCCCACTGCAAATCCTTAGTCCTCCTGTCAAAAAAGGAAGAATAATCGTCAACCATGAACACTTTCTGTATATATAAACTATATTATAGCACCCAATAATCTATAAAAAAAAATGTATGTAGATTATAAATTCGTTTTATATAAGATCTATTAAAACATTTATAGATTGTCAGGGTCATACCAATACAGTTGACAAGTAAATTCGTCCAACCTAAACACCAAGTTAAACGGCCATTGCCCATATAATAACACAACGTTGTAAACATCTTGAATTCCGTGAGCCAGGTGATATTCTATTTGCAAGATGAATCGGTGAACGTGAGTTGCAAATAAAGATAATTGACATAAATAAAGAAAGACACCAGTAGGTCATATTTGATCAGATCACAGAGCAACTTTAGCGTAGTAGGCACATGTCTTACTTATGTAATGCCAGTCAGTCAGTCACTGCATACTCGGAGAATTGATAGACCATCCAAATCCCCAAATCAATATTTATTGATATAAGAGTACTAATTAATTTCGCAATGGCGAATTAACGGTGCGAGGCTGTATTTCAAATTCGAATAACACTAATACATTTTTGGAATAGTGTCTTCTTAAAAGTACAACAGTCAGTGAGTATAAACAGTGGAACAGATTCAATTAGTAACACGAACAATAACATGTAAATACCTACCGTAGATAAAAACAGTCACCTTGTCCATCAACTTCGCCCTTTGCAAATGGTTTAAAACACTGAACAGTGCCATCACTTGATACGATGTCTGTGCCACTTTTGAGTGCATCAATGTGAAAATTCTCCGTTCTTGCCACAAGTGACCATATTTTGATTGTAATGGCGGCATGGGTATTTGCATTGTAGTCTCTGGCAAGTACCATGCCTTGCTTTTTACATTCATTTATTGAATCTTCACGGGATTTCTCTATTTCGAAAACTTTGTATTTTAATAGCTGTGCAGCAAAATCAAGATCTGTAATTTGGAATAAAATTAACTTAGACATAATTATATACTGTATAATCATATTATATAAAATTGAACTTCATGATCAATAATTTTATCCGATAGTAAGAGGTTAAAACATGCATACGTTTAAACGAGAGGACACAAACGATTTTATTTATAGATTATATACATGACGTCACTGAGATTTCGTTTTTTGGTTAATTCATCTATGATAAAAACAACATCGCCGTGCAAACATAACATTCGATAATAATCAGGACGAGATGATGATGTCAAAACTACTCGATTTGGGTAGATTACATTGATGAACAAACATGTGCTTTATCAGAAAAGTTAATAAAACATTATCGTATACTAGGCTTATTAACAGTAATATTGTCACATGCTTGACTAATTATTGATTTTCGTACCAGGCAACTGCAAATAGTTAAAAAGAGAGAGACTCAACACATAGAATCGGGTTCACATATAAAAGTCTTACCTAGGGGTTCGCATACGTACATGCCCCTGTTCCCACAGCTGAAATCGTCGTACGCATAGTCATGTTCCACCCTTTGAAGAAAAGCAGAATACAATAATGAACAATCTCCCAATGACTGGGTATGACAGGTGTTTCCCACTTCCAGCATAGATAATAGCCATATATCTTTGGTGAATTTTTGTAAATTACAGCCCCAAATACAACAAACTATATAAATATGAAATTGTACAATCAAATTTAGCATTATTTGAACAAACAAGGCAAAAATAAAGAAACTCATCACAAAACACTGCGATAAAGACTTTTCATTTTCGACATTGTGAAATTCTTTCGTTTTTATGCAGAAAATACAGTAAGTAAAAATAATATTTATTGAAGTTATTGTTCATACATGAGTTGTTGAACGCAATACATAGTTTGTAATTTTATTCAGATTTGTTCATTCATAATTAAAGACGTATTTAAAAGCAAAAATATCGAAAATATAGCAAATGAACTTTTTTTCTGTAATATTTTTTTAATCAGTAAGTATCAAAATTATTTATTGGTACACAGGAAATACATTTCGTTATGAATTATTGCAGGGTTTTGTCTCCCAAAAAAGCGAAGAAATTTTATATTGTCGAAAACGGAATGTCTTTATCGTAGTTTTACAAAATAAACTAAAATTGAAGAAGCTTATTATTCAGAGAAAAAAATCGTTATATTTATTATGACGGGAGGGTCGTCACCTGCGCACGAGCGGGAATTGAGTCCCAAGCGATGATAACAACACACGTTAAGAACGCAAGGGATCATGGGTAGACTTGTTTGTAAACAATGACACGCTATGGCAATCTGACGCATGCGCAGGTGACGAATACTGAATATTAATATTGAATACTAAATTCACTTGTTAGAATGTTGCCATGGTAACAATTTAAGTGCCTTTAAATTGACACAAATCGTGCTACTGGAATAATTAAATCTGTAGTATATGCAATATTGCATTGTTGAAAAATTATCTAAGAAAAAAATAAACCTAGACTACAAACCAAAATCTGCACTAAACTTAAATTTGAAACTGATTTGTTAATGATAAGAAAAGATTAGGCAGCTCTGAATAGATATGGTATCATGACAGATCAATTGTATCTCATTGCCTATGTTTGTGTGTGTAAACCGTTTCATTCAATATTACTTAATATATTGTATATATAACACCTAAGAAAACATTTCACATTATTTGGATTAGCTAGTTCATATCCCCACTTCAAGGAAATCCACGTTTAATGTCGAATCAAATGTGTAACATTCTTTAATTTGACATTTATAATGTTATAAATAATCACATTTACTTTTTCTTAGAGTCTTCGCGACGTCATAACGTCACGTGGCAGTCATTTGAAATATGTGACGGCAATTGAACAAAAAAAAACACTTACGAAAGACCGATACAGTCGCCATCACCGCTGGGCTGGTTAGGTGCAAATGCTCGGTAGTAAGCGTTACTTCCATAAATTGTTTTAATATCTCCGTCGATTGTTCTTATGCCGAACCAGAAACGTTTTGTATCCAGTGCTCCCTTGGCTTTGATTGCATTAACTATGCCATTATATGCACTCTCATCTTTTGGGACAGCAAGCATCATACCTCTTTTATAGCATTCTCCATAAGCATCTCTATTCGTTATTGAGTCAGTAAAAACTTGATATTCTACAAATACATATGTGAATAATTGAAAAAAAATGAGTTAATACTTTTGAGTAAACAAAACCTAATTATATGTCACGAAAGGCTGTACATGTATTGAGAGGTGGAATTTATAGCGCATAGTGAGGCGCTTTAAAGATTGCAGATTGTTTTAATTGTTACTTTAATTGTTATTTGATTATGTACTCGGCGGTTGTGGTTGTGGTGGTGCAAATGTTGGTGCATCTGCTGGTGCTATATATAACTACAAAAACGATGCATCTTATAATGTCTAATTCATATTTACCGTTAGTGTTTCTAGGAATACGACCAACAATACTTGCCTATTCAGAAAGTAAACATATTAATAAGAAACTATTATTAAAGCATGGTTATTGAGTATAACACAAATTGTGCGCGGCGACAGTACAGTGGCAGCATATTGATACGACTGTGCAATATCTTAACCATACAATAATTGAAACATGGGGATATATATATATATA